TCTCTCACTGCGCAGTCTCTGGGCCTGGGTTTACACTCGCGTGCTCCGCACACGGACCGTAAACCATAGGAGGTGTTCCACATTGGATTTGGCCTGGGTTTAGGACCCGTGTGCGAAGCACGCGGGCTTAAACCACAGGAATAGCGTTCTACACCAGCATTGGCCTGGGTGTACGCGGCTCATAAACCGCAGGTGGCGTTCCTGCTTGGTATATTCCTCCTTAACATTTATTCTACACCCTGATCCCTAAACCCCCCTTACCCTCAGTGCACAAAACCCTAGACCCCCCTCTACCTCCCCTGTAGGGGGAGCACCTCGCTGCGCTCGGTAGTCGACATGACCCGCCGTTGGCACTGTCCGTGCTTGATGGTGTCGTTTGCAAATGTGCGGGTACGCTGGGTGTAACCGTCATGCGCCATAAAACGGGCAGAGTAACCAATCAAAACTGTAAAATTAACAAGTTTATATTGCACTTTTGCAAGTGACTAGTTAAAAATGTATAAAAGACTAGTTGATAATGATGGGTTGTCTACCCTTCCGCAGAGTGAGTCCGGGACCGGGTCTCTTGTCGATAAGTATCCAGTTGATGACCCCAGGCAAATAACAGTCATTGCCCCTTTTTAGCCAATAATAGGCCAGTAGCACGCGCAAGTCCTTTCACAGCTCATTGCCTCAAAAGTCTCCCTCGTCGCTCAAGAAACAACATGCGCTGCCACAGAGGCTTCTGGGCCTACGCAGGCGACAAAGGCACCGACATCTCGGACAGCGCTGCACGCTTCGCGCAAGAACAAGCCTCTCAAGCGGAGCCAGGTGCCAACAAGACGACAGAGAATTGGCTGCGAACGCGGGCTGGAAGGGCTCTGAATAAGCGCTGGGAGGGGGAGACAGCGGAGTTTCGGCAGGACTACATATAGAAGAACCCTGACGCTACCTTTTCGCTGGACGACAACCCGCTGGGCTTCGCGGATGGCCGGCAGTGTAACGGGGTTACACGCACAAGTGGCTACAGTCACTTGTTACTCTAACAGATGCGATGTCTGTTAGAGGTTTAAACACTTCCTCGACCTTGGTGTAAGGTACACCAATGGCTACATACATTTTCGACCACCACGACGGGTAGTCCATACACATTTAGGATTCCTATTGGCTGAAAGCAGCATCTTTTAGCCAATGAGTGGCTTGCATGTTAGCAGAATCCTGCCAACCAGCCGTTGGCAGATTCCTAGTTTAGAATATTACATTTAGAGGAAGTCAGAAACATAAAACAAAAATAGCAGTTCTCATCTTTTACCAAAACCCGCTACTTGGAGTATTTATCTTGTTTAAAGTATACTCGTGGATCTCGAGTATACTTAACTCAAGTAAAAGAAACCTACGCTTCCTCATACACGTGCGCATACGTGTAAGCCGTAGTAGTGAGCCAAGGTAGGCCCATTACAGGCAGGATCGCCGGCGCTATCCTCGAATGGTGCGAGCCGACATCGCTACGCCTGTGGTACTGCAGGAAGAGGCTCCGGTAGCACCAGCTACGACACGCACACCCGTCGACACTCAGTGTCGAGAACAAGTTGATGAATTTAAGAGCTACGAGGACGAGCTGCTGCGGGCTGGGTTCGTGGCCGAAGTGACAGCACTTGCGCACGCAGTCCGAGCGAACGACGTTAGCCGAGTTGTGTCACGTTCGGTGGCAGTAGTAGAATGTATGGGCGCCCAAATTGCAGCAAGTTTATCCCCCGATTCAAGAGCTCGTGTTGTGGGAGTCATCCGTGACGTGACAGCGTATATGCAAGCTGCATGAGCACAGCTGACTATGCACTCTGATGAAGAGGCGGATGGCGCGCTTCATGAAACGCAGACTAGCGCAGCTGCCGCTAACTCAGCACTGAGCAACTACGTGCGTGATACCATTCAAGTTAACCCAAACTTCAAGGCCATGCACGAGGGCAGGGAAAACTACACGACCAGCACCACCAATAACTTGCAGGAGTTATATTGGCTAGGAAAAGTACCCTCGGTGCGAACTTTGCAAGCTAGTCCAGGCTCGCCTGCTGTGTCAAGTGATGCATCGGCTACATCAACTACGGTGTGTCAGGCAGGGGCGTCTGTCGAGAGACTCAATGGATCGGTTGCTGAGGGCGCGGCTAATAGCAGCAACGATGCTCAGATATCACCCTCGGCTCAAGCAAAACCTACCACTATTACCTCTCGCAAACGCCCCCGGTTGCTCGAAGGAAAGCAGCGATCCACCACGACAAATTCAAAGCCACACGCAACCAGCGGAAAAGAGCAACCGGCTGGTAATGCGGCAGATGATGAAGATAGCGTGTATGAGCCAAGCAATTCGGAGGAAAGTGACGTGAATGATGACGAAGTGGACCCCCCGAATCGGTTTTTCAGAAAGCGCGTGTCAAAAAATGATCCTCTGATAGTGTGGACCGATCTCGAAGATGACGATCACCCCCGAACAGTGCACGTTTACCCTGTGGATTTGGATAGCTTGCAGACTGGTGCTTGTTGACCCAAACTGCGCTGGATTATTTTATCTGTCGCTATATGGAGCGAGTTAAAGGATTAATTCGCGTATGTGACTCGGAGTTGTACGTATTGATGGAGACTGCACGATTCACGCGAAAGCCGAAACGACGACGCCGACTGTTGGCTGACCTAGTCGCATTGTTTGACTGGTCGGCCTACCAGTATATGCTTCTCCCAGTATCGGGTCGCAACCACTACAGCTTTTTGGTAATTGAGAACCCCATGCACCCGGGGCCAACAAAAGTTTATCACGCCAACTCGATGAAAAATGCTCACAGCTCGGCGTATGCTTTTGACGTTCTGCAATGGGTCCTATCAGAGACCCATAAATCCCAAGCAGAATCTTCGGCTCCGTTTGAGTGTAGCACCTTTGTCCATTTGACCAAGCCCCAGCAATCAAATTGCATCGACTGTGGAGTTTACGTGCTCCATTACATGGATGTGATTTCAAAACACATTGCAGCCGAGAAGCCTGGATCGATCGAGGAGAAGATCGCCGCGTGGACAGGGGGTGATTTCGGCGTCAAGAAGGTGTGACGCGGTGTCGATCCCTAAATTCGGGTGAATGCACCTGAACCTGGGAAGTCCCAATGATGTGGAGCTTGGTGATACTGGATGATTTGGAGTCTCCTATAAAAACAAGGGTAATGTCTGCGAATGGACGCTGAATCCCGGAAGATAGATCAATGTGGGCGAGTTGATCCCGTTCCATGAAGTGCAACGGAATGCGAGCGATCCTCCCCAGTATATCTAAGTACGGCGGAACTCGACTCTGGCTTACAACCTGGGAGCTGAGGCACTTCTCAGATTCCCCGTTGTTTTCCCGGAATAACGATTCCCAGACTTCGCGTTCCCAGACTTACCTCCCACAAAATTCCAAGAACGACCTCGGCTTGAGGCGTTCCGAGGCTCCAAACCCAAGAACAATTGGTTTCACTATGGCATCTTCCAAGATCCTAGGTGTATCCAACAACTCCGAGAAGGTATCCAGTTTGGCGACCCTTCAAGGCCAGACCAACACTCCGCAGAAAGATCGCAGTCTCCGAAGGGTCGCTTAGGAAAGATTTCGTCTGCATGTGACCGTTAACCAAACAGAGTTCGTTTTGCTTCAAAGGGCACAAGTGCTTCTTTCACAGCCTGGAAGGCTGTTCTCCACGACAAAATTCGAAGTACTTTACGTAAGTGATCCACTGCTTCGGCCTGGAAGTGATCATATCTATTCCATATCTGTATATTTGGCGGATTGCAGACCGTCTTTGTTGTATATTTGCGGTCTATTGGGCCTGCGTCGAACTGAAGAAGTTAGCGACAGGATAGATCGTTTCCTCTCTCCGAGAGGTGGTGCGCGTCCCCAAGATTGATCAAGTGTCTTGGATTTGGACCAGTTGACTTGTATTTTGGCCTTAGCCTTGGGCCTAGAGAAAGAAGAGAGGGCAAAGAAGTATTTGTGTGATTGTATAACGTGTATAACTCTATTTGGGTTGGATTGTTCTAGCGTTAGCCCGGCGTAGCTGTCTGATTCACGCGGTCGATACTAAGTGAAAAGAACCGCTACCCAAGGGATACACATCGTGCGCCTGACCAACAGCGTGTACTGGACAACACACACCCTGTGCCAACCGAGACGGATCCAAAGCTCTAGTAGCCTGAGGTCTGTCAAGGAGGGCCTATAACTGCTTTCTGGGAGAAAACACCGCATCGCCTCGTCACAAAGGCAGCAGCATACCGAGCTAAGTTGTATAGGACTATATCTCCAGCGTGATTAATTGTAGCACCCGGTGAGTAGAAACACAGTCAACTTCTTTTTAACACGGTTCCGGTTATTGACGTTATGGCTCAATGCAGCAAGTATCGGAATATGTAGTACCGCAAAATATCACTGCGGTACCTACCGAAAAACGTCACTGCGGTACCTACCGCAATACATCACTGCGGTACCGCACTGTAATACTGCTGTACCGCATGCATTGCGGTACCGCGTAGGATCACTGCGGTTCAAACAATACCCACGGGCTAATAGAAAGGAGGTGCGTTCGTCATGTTTTTCTGTGGTCGATACTCGACGGCTTGGCGATATTGTCAAGTGCGACTTGTAGTACTTCATCCTGTATGTATTCAACTAAATTTAGCGTTGCTTCACTGTTCAAACTGTGATTCCTCGCGCGTCATCCGTAGGACTACGGTGAGCACATACGTCCGACTATTGACGAATTCTGAAATATTGCAAGATACGGTTGGCATCGCGGGGTGTGGTCTCAATCGTTGGGGCTGGGATCGGAGATACTAGTCGTGGAAACGGAGCAGCGAGATACAGCAATAGCTTGGACAGCATCTTTGATCTCGCCCGCATGTTTCGCTATCCAGTTCAGAGATTTATTATGGGTACGCCGGTACTCCTCCAATACTTGCACGGCTAGATTAGTTGCATCGACGTCCGACACCCGAGCCGACGTGAGAATATCATCTGCAACCGCAGCGACTAAGCTGTAAATTGGCCGCCCTCTATTGAAGAACCGTCGTTCGTCCGCACTACACCACTTTGTGCCAAACTGATCCTCGAGATCTCGGACAGCTCTGGCGCCATCTAAGCCGACCGACCATTCTTTCCACAAGTCCGGCACAGTAGCCAACCCCCGCCGAAGTTTATACTTTGTCCGATCACTTTGCACGTCAATAGCTATCGGCGAAGCTGACGGCACTACATGAGTCGCCTTTGCGCCCACCAGATAGAAGCTGAACTTGTACAACAGCCGTGCCGCCTTGCAGAGGTGCCAACACGCGCATTACGTCACTGAGGCTACCTTGAACGGTCCGCATGGTCGAGCAGACTTGAGCTAACGAACTCTTGAAATCCTGGTGTAGCCCGTCGATTTTGGCGTTTAACACCGGTACAGCTTTCTGAAGACGCTGTTCAGTTGGATCTTCCATTGCGTCAACAGCTTGCATAACCTCACTTTTAAATTCCGTGAACTCCCGGGATTGAAATATGCTGTGCTGCCAAATTGGGTGCGTTGGTGCGGATTTCTGCAAAAAATACAGCATCCTGGAGGACGACCTTACGGAGATATTGGAGCAGCTCGAGAAAACCTCCGGCCGCAAGCGATTGTTCCGCTGTTCCTGAAGCAATGACCTGTTGCCAAACCTCCACCTGCGGATATATCTTACTCTGCAATGCTAGCGGGGGATCAACAGAAGCTCGGGCAACAAAAAAGCTCCCAATACTCGGTTCAAAACCGGCAAGTGTGCGCATCGCCTGCCTCGGAAGAGATGTGAGGTAACATTTCTCCATTGATTGGCCGTTCCATCGACCCAAACGGCGAATCTGGGACTCACTTGCGCCTCCTAAGTCCGCCATACGCGATCCGGATCCGCGACTAACGTGAGGTTTCGCTTTGCTGTGGACGCCGACATGTTTCAACGCCGCTGTGATAGCTGCATTGTGAACTTTGTTCGACATTGGTTTCGTGGGGTGTTTACCTGTTTTCAAGAGCTTTATCGGATACCAGCGCTCTGAAGACGTAAAGTCGGGAAATGCCTCGCCATCCACATGCCAACGCCAAAACAAGTAAATTACAAGAATTACAAGGGGGCAGATCTCGACATGCTTATTGCGCATACAAGCGCCGACTTCAATGCGCCCCACTTGGTTGGTTTTACCCTGTCGCATCACCATAACCAGAGCCCTGCATGACGTGTAGCCCTCGTTTTCGAGAACAATCGAGTGTAAGTCTGCCAATTCCATCATTCGCGCCGACTCTCCTCTCATAAGGGCGTAATGGCTCAGTAGAAAAGCAACCAAATTCCGCAAGTTTTTGCCTGAATCGCGTGTCGATGTCCAGAAATACCGAGCTATCTCCTTAACTTGATCGATTGTCGTATAGCCATCCAGTAGTGTATCAGCTCCACGGTCCTCAAAAATTTTCCACTTCCTCTCGTCTTCTTCGTACTCTGTCTACTTCAATAGGGTCGTCACAGCTTCGTCTCTGGGGGAGGGATTGCTGTTCACTTTAGCCCAAGATTGCTGCTTCCATAGGTCAACCATCGCAGTAACGTAGGAGTTCACAGTAGAACGTCCGACGGTTTCAATTCTGTCGCTGGGTGTACTTCCACTCTTGTGGCGCTTGGTCCGGCCAATTACGCGCCCTTGTAGGAAGAGTTGGAGCTTCTCACCAGTAACTGTAAACCGGGTCTGGTTATTAAATGCTGCTGCTTTTTCCGAGCACCAGTCTAAGAACTACTGCTGCCGACTGCTGTATGCTCTCTGCGTGTTCTTAGGTCAAAGGGTAGTGGCCTTCTCGTAGGACCGCTGGACAGACTCCTTCAGGGCGACCTGCATTCGAGTCTCTACCCCCGTGCTGCCCATTATTCCAAGCTGTCCCCTGCACTCGAGTCTCTTCTTTCCGTGCTGGTTTGGTGCGCGTCTAGCGGCTTGGCCCCTAGCCGCAAAATTAGACGTAATTTTGCCCAACCAGCATCTAGAAGACCCCTCGTCAAATAAACAGTTATTTCACCCCCAAAACATGAGATAACTACAATGATTTGATCGAAAGCCACCAGTGCTGACCGGTCCCGGTCCGGACCCCAGTGGTGATAATGTTTTTCCTTATGCTGGACAAGGCTGTGTGCTCCGTTCGAACTTTCAGTGATGATGGAGAAAGTGAGTTGCTGAACGCGCTGGTTCCAGGTTTATGGAGATGTCTAATCAAGCGTAGTGACCTCGTGTTTTGTGAAGCCAAAGCACGCGCAACAACCAGTAGGGGAGGCATCACTTCGCTATTCCTGGGATTCTGTGATGGGTGGTACGGACTTCCAGTTCTCTTAGCTTCTGTCGGTATGTCATTGCGATGGTTGGCGCTGGATGGTCTCAGGCCTGAAGTTGACACCAACGTGGTTCTGCGTAACTGCCCCAACTTAGAGGAGTTGGCCCTCTGTAGCCTTGATGTCGACGTTGGACTCAATTTTGGCTGGTACCAAGTGAACAAATTACCTCTTCCAGCGCTGGACTCTGACTGAAATGAGATTGACAGGCTGGTGAAAAGATCGAGCGATGTTCAGATCGCCCCTTGTGTTCGCCATCTGCGACTTGATCTACGGCCTCGATTCCAATTCGGTTGGGAAGAAGACCAAGCAGCGGCCAGAATTGACAGTATCGCCTATATGCTGAAGGTAAACCACAACCTGGAATACCTTGACGTAATTCTACCAGAGGATTATTCTGTGGACAAGTTGAGCGGAGCCCCGCAAGCGGGGCTCTTTACATAGGTTTAAGCCGAGCACGTGGGACCGCCCGCCTCGCTTCGCTCGGCGGGAGTTTGCCAGATTCTTGATAGGTTGATCATGCTTGTTTCAAAATCTAAATCTAAATGAGATTCTGGAATTCAGATTACAACTAAAAGATCTAACTGACGGCAACCATATTGAACGCGTGCGAACCCCGATAAATTACTTGACCACCAGGGTAGGTTCGGATGGGTGTAAAGCCCCTCAAGCCCGTATATATTCAAAGCCTAGATTCTTCACAGATATCACATCTTGTGTCATTTGAACTCGATCTTATTTGTATGTCTGAAGCCCCGTAGTATAGTGAATATTGGCAGAAGCCTAAAACTACGGAAGTCCCAATTGCAACCAACTCTCAGTCACGGCTGTACGTATAATTACAATGTAGATGGGACTAATATCACAATTCAATAACCTTACAGTAAAACAATAGGGGCATATCCGGGTACCCGAAATGCATCATGGGGTATGTGAGGATGTCCCAAGCCCAGGCGCTCAATCTGGATGGTGACGGATCGTCCGGGGACTTGTCTTGGACTGCTCGAGCCGACAACTGCGCCATCACCGCACATTAAACTTGTTGGGCGGGATTATAATATGCGCTCTAACGCCGACTTACCTGCGAAACTGCCCGGTAAGTGTATAGCTGGTGGACCACTTATACACTTTCATAAAACATTTTCGGCATTGCAGACTCTACAGCGTTTGCTGAGTGATAGGAATCGGTCCATGTATTACTTGCTGCCCCAGAACTTTAATATATGTATGAGTGATCCAAAACAAAACAAAAAGCTCTCAAGTGGACTACTGTAAAACCTCTAATTGTGCTCCGCCCTCAATTAGCGGGAGTTCCTGAATAATACCCCGGTACAATTTATTAGTTTCCTCCCATTTTCAAACAAAATCAGATGGGGACCCGGGGGGTGGACCCGGGGGGTTTCGCAGTTCGAAGCTAGCTTGTATAGTGTATAGATACTTGTAGAGGGAAACGATGCATTCGGGCACCTCCTGCGCCTGCTTCACCGCCGCAGCATCTGCCTAATCTACCACTGTACAACCAAGTTTGATTGTTCCTTTTCAAAAGGTATTGCCCGTCTATATATCGTCACTCCGATGGATTAAACATCAACGCAGAGTTAGTTGAGTTGGTACTTCAACGCTTTGGGCTCCTCCTGCTCGTCGGATCAAGATTTCACGGATTTAGTTTTAACTTTAGTATTGCGATTGGACACTTCGCAGTCTAGTTGTGTGACTCCGTATCAAGGCACACGCGACTGTGGAGTTGTTGGCAAGGGTGTACAATTGCAACGGAATGCTGTAATGTGATTGGTCAGTTTGCCGGGTTTGGTGATTGTGATTGGCCGAAGAGGAGATCAAGTTGAAGTTGCCGTTTTCACGGGATCTGCAACAATCGACATTTTCCCTGTGCACCCCTGACAGAACATGGTTGAGTTAGAAGCTTGGATTTCGTGTACTCGTTGGTAAGATATGATTGGACAGACTCTATAAGGTAGTTTTGCTAAACTCAATCTAATTCACTTTCGGATTTCCTTCCTAACCAACACTCGACTACCAAGCCTCGCCCGCATAATCTCAATTTTTAGTTATTTTGTAGTTAGCAGAACGATCATCGACGACTAGCTAATCAACGTAATTTTCTTCCTTCCAGCCACTGAAATTGCGCTGATGGCTAGGCAGAATTTTTTGCCGTTTTATGCTCGGAAACTTACCGGGGGCGACAAAAGAAGAAAACCCCGTGCATTTGAAGATTTTAGCGCTGCCAGGCTAACTGCTCAGCTGAACTTGCTGGGTAAACGGATGAAGCCAGCAATTTGTTTCAAGTTTGATAAGTCAAAACTGAGGTCTAGCGCGAGTAGGAGTAGGATACACCGGGGTTTGTCCTTCGCTTTGGTGCTGTCCGCTCGGGCTTCCTCTCTCGCAGGAATCCGGGGCGTACAGCGACGACGTAGCTTAGAAGCATTCAATGTGTGATACAACATGGCGCAGTCGCACACATATTTCGTTCGGGTCGCCTGAATATCAACCCGTGTCGGCTTCGATTCGTCCAAGTGTGTTATTGCCATTTATCAAGTATTTAGCTGACCGTAACGTATTGATGTAGCATTAGGATGTTCTGCATTAACATCGGTAACGATGTGCTTCGAAGTTGTTTGACAAGTAGTGCATAATTGTATTGATACACCACCAGTAGTAAATCGGCGCGGAGGATCGTTACGGGGCAATATAGTCTCACACAAAGCAAGCATAATATCATTCAAAGGCTTCGTTGATAAGATGCCTGAGCGTGTGCAGCTAGCTTTTTAACGGACCCACACGAGCCATTCATAGCTCGATTAATTTGAACTAGGCTTCTTCCAGTTCATACACGGTCATCATTCGTTTTGCACTAGCTTCTAGCCTTTTCTCCGGAGAAGACATACCATCAGGTGCAGCTCTATTTGGCTCTCCGCTAGATAGAGTTGCGTTGGATACAAAATCGTTGAACGGAAAACTCAGGCTATACCTCCCATTTTGGATCACATATCGTTAAAAAAATTGAAGTAGTTTTTGGCGAAGTCTTAGTAGAATGTTCAATATAATACACCTAGACGCATTTCAATACGTGTGGGAATTCACACAATACCAGCCTGTCAACAATGTATGCCACGAAAATTGCATAAGAGTTTCAGTTAATCTCTCTGATTAATCATGCATACAGAAGAAAATCGATCGCAAGGTGAAGTCATCTTCTCATGTGTCTAAAAGAGGAGGGTACAATAAAAGTTATGACTCATGACAAAATGAAAGATCGAATTGACAGTTTAAGACTTGCTAGCTGGTGCATAAGACCTGCTTGAGGCATCAGCATATCCACGGTCGGCATCTTGGAACTTATAGCCCAAACTTCTAGCCGAAGTAGGTGCTGTCAAACAGAGAGGAACACCATGTTGAATCTTCTAGACTCTGCACTTTCTTTCGAGGGCTTACACGCGTCGGACACTTTGAAATTGTCGAAGCTAGAGGACTTTGCCTAGGAGTCTTAGGCTAGGACCTTGTTGTGTGAGTTTTGCTCTTTCTCGTGTAAATATGCATGGTTTTTGACCCTTATTGTACAGTCTTTCACTATAGTTGCAATTGTTTCCGCCCGGAGGAAGTAACTGCTAAGATTGGTTTCCTTGGATCTCGTTGCAACTGGAAATAAGGTTATCCTTATAGGGCTAACCCACCTATACTGCGTTGTTAGTGGTGTGGTCGACTCGAGATGAATAATATCAATACATGTTGAGGAATCATAATGTCCGAGAGAGAGAGAGAGAGAGAGCTGCAAACTCGAAAAGGAAGCCACGGTAAGGTCAGGGTTGACATCAATATGACCGTCATACTGATGTCAACCCTGACTCAAACCTGATGGTAAAAATATGCTCTGTCGAGATCTTATATGGAAGTGAAGGAGAGGGATAATCTCCAGCAGAGATAAAGTATACTGCCTACGTTCTCACCACTTTCCGTGTTACTTTGTATGTCATTCCTCTGAAGCCAGCAACTTTTAAATGAGGGGCATCTGGTTAGTGCTGGCCGTGAAGGGTGTCTCATTAAATAGTTTTCGAAGGGGTATCTCGTTAGGTTTCCCTAAGACCTCAATCTTACACAAAAAGCGGCACAAAGACTAAAAGGCGCAATACACGTCCACTCGGGGATACCAGCTGGCCACGAAAGGATTGCTAATGCGAGTGTTGCTAAAGCGCTGAGAAATAAACATTATTCTTGTTGTCCTGTTGCTACCCAATTGCCTACCATTATTCGTTTTCAAAAGTACAACTATTTTCAGCGTACTTTTGTGCGGAGATTAACCGAGACTTCCAGGGCTCGGCAACGGTGTAGTAGTGCACTGAAGGAAAATGTCAGGTTATCAAAATCGATCAGCAGAAGATTAGACAGCGGAGGACCGCAAAACTGAGCAAGCAATTGATGCAGCTTGCTATACAAAGCAGCTACGTCAAAGAACAGATAAAGCAAATCGAACAGACTATCAACACTGGCGGATAGCTCCAAGAAAGCACTTCAAACGATGTAAAACCCTCAAAATATCTCCCACATTCTGTCAGTGATCGCCAGGATATAGGGAAAATTCGGAAATTCCCGTATTGGTAGAGGTCTGCGCATGAAGCATGCGTATGAATTGTTGATACACAATCTCGATACACTCGCTTACTTCTAGCACTACAGGTCAACTAAATGACGTTTGACGACAAATTAAATGGTTTCTCAGTGTATCAGGCTGTTAAGCTTTCTTGTATGAAAAGGTTTCGATCGGCTCTGGGGGGGCATCGCGAAATTTTGTGTAGAGCTGCATGTTTATCGAAGGGAGCAAGCAGAGCTGGCGATGGGCGATAAACGGGTTTTCCTGATGCAGAAGGTATTTCAAGTGGCCACAAATCCAGGAGGCCTACCAACACTCGTGCTACAGGAATAGACGCGGAGGGCGGTTAGCGTATGCAGGCGACCCCTTGGCATATTTGGTTCGCGGTGACAGCGAACAGAAGCCCGGGCTGCACAAGGTCACTCGCAGATGGAGAAAGATGGCATCGGAACCCGGCCCGGACGACGGAGGAGGGCAATTTGGCTGCCCTCAGCATTTGATCCTAGTATCCAAGTTCCACGACGAGCTGGAGTTTCCTGACGCCCCTGCAACCATGCAAATTACGACAACGACAAGCAGAAGACCATATTACTCAGGACGAAGAACGACTTATGCATTTTGGTGCAAACTGGCTGAGGTGGCTATTAAAACTACGATCGCCACATCCAGCCACAATCCATCTAGCAGTACACTCACAAGCTCATCGGCAAAGGCAGCCACTACGACTACGAATGCGAGCTGTGACTTTCCTTCAACGCCTACACTATCAGCACCGGATTGTACTCTACGTGCAGCTTCGACGACTACGACTTCTAATCTGACGACTACGACATCAACGGCGACAAGCACGGGCACCGTCAACGGCCTTAAACTCAAGCTCGCTCGACTTCCACAACTACGGCTTGATCAGCGAGACCGGGCTTTACGTGCACTTCCGTTCCGTCGACGACTACGACTATAAATTCGACGGCGAGATGCGCTTGTGGGTACGGTCGTCTATTACGACGAACTACGCCGTCGGCGGCGGGCGGTACGATCTGCTCCACTTTCAACAACTACAACTCGGTTTCGATCGACTTCTACGACTCGGACATCAGCCGCGTATTGTACACGCCGCTTGTACACACCGCTCCGACTGCTTTCAACGGCTACCATCTTACTCTCGTCCACTACAACAACAATCTGAGCATCAGGCTGCACGCGCGGCTCTGCTAGCCTTTGGCGCTTAAGTATTTCGGGTCGTTCGGCTACTGCCACTGCAACTACGACCACGATATCATCGGCGTACCACTCCGTCCGCGTTAGACGGCTACAAACTCGGTGACTTCCGTCTCCTCCGACTACAATTTGACCAGCGGGTTGTGGGCACAATCCTGTTCGCGACCATGACTACGAATCCGGTGGCGAACCGCACGTGCAGTCTCGCCCGTCTACTACAACTTCGACTATCAGAGTTTGCCTCGGCGCCTGCGAATTCGGTCTCGCTCGACTTGTAAAACTACGACTCAAGCAGCAGGCTGTACGTGCAGTTCCGTCCGCTTTCGACAACCCCCAACTCGCTCTCGTTCGTCTACTACAACTTCGACTCGACCGGCGGGCTGTACGACAAAGAACACCTAGTCCATCGACTACTTGTACAACTAGACTATGAACTCAGCATCAAGTCATTCGTGCAGGCCGGTCGGGTCCCAATTCGGTCGAGTAAAGACCTTGATGAAGTCCTGGTGGGTGGGCCACGAGCTCAGCTAGGCGTGATGACGAAAGGTTCCTGCTGCCATTTGCGGTGGCGGCGGGTTTGACTCGGTGGGCGGGCCACGAGCTCGGCCGGGGAAAGATCTTGACGAAGTCCTGGTGGGCGGGCCACGAGCCCAGCTTGCTTTGTGGAAAGTGATGGTTGGCGTTGATATAAGGGAAGTTGCGGGGTGGCATCTGGGGCGCTTCATCCACCAGAACGCGATAATAATTTTGGGGCGTCTCGCTTACCTGGTTGATGAATTGGCGGACACGTTCGTGACTCGACGGTTCGTAAGGATCAAGACTGCTAGAGAAGAGCATGTTCATCCGCGGGGCCTCTGGAATCCTCAAGACCCAAGAAGCCGACTCTAAGCAAACGCCGGTTGCACTCCCAGGCATTGGTGGACATGTAGTTCATACTGGTAATGGCTCAATTTTATGGGGTTGCCACTCGGCACCTTGCTCCTCAAGCAAGGAACCTCATGACTTTGAACCATAACCAAAATGAAAAACATTTTCCCCCAATGCCTGTATGCATCATTGGAAAACAATATTTAGTGTCGCCCCAAATTAGCAGCGAGGGAGCGCAGTGAACGAGGTGCTCAGCTAGTATAGTAAGCTGTGATGGGTCAGCATGTCGAGCAATTAATAGTTACTGCAGTACATGGAGATCCAATAATAAGTTATTCCGTACAATAAATACAAAAATAATTTATATTATATTATTTTTACCGGGCCCTGTTTTCCAGATAGTAGGTGCCGATATTCTTGTTGAGCTGTGGGCATTAGTCGAGGTCGTTGTACACGCTCAATCGATGTCGTCCGCGTGATACTGGTTCGCGCGAGAATGCCATGTAGGTGGGGTTTCAATAGTACAAAGTACCAGATATCGGAGCCGGCGATCAGAATCAAGAGGGCGATGGCGAAGGTCGAACCCGCGTGGCATCGTTATCAGCACAGATCCCTCAGCAGCTTCAAGTAACCGATGCACACACCAACGCAGCGAGCCGCACATCCAGTAGACCATGCTTTTCATCGCGAGACGGAAATTCTTGAAACCTGTTGCAAAAATACTGAATGACCTGTTATCCCCAAATCTACTGAATTCCGGTTGCCATGGTCTGAATGCCTGTTGCGTTGGTTAGGTGAGATTGGGACAACAGGAATTCAGGGCTGAATAGCTGTTGGTACAGTAATTCAGATCAACACGTTGATGTCGTTGTACATGTAGCTGCGAGCTATCCGGATATTGCGTGCCGCTCGTGTAAGGGCACCATGACATGCTGGCAGCAGCATGATGCTGCGCGGTATCGGCCGGCAAGCGCACGTTCATGACCACCGGAGAGGTGGAGCCGGGCATGAAGTACATGCTGCAAATGGACCAGATCAACACGGGATTTGCGCTGCCATACCTACGACATCACCAACACGCAGGGGGGGGGGCTGCGCAAGCAGTGGTCATCATTGAGCTGCTTAACGAGGAGGTCACCTTGATTCAAGGTCGAGGTGATCCACCACGGACTGCGCGGATCAAGCCGCTCGGCTACTCCGAGACTATGGGCTTTGTGTATCCGGCCGACCGGGAAGTCGCTGACATATTTGGTAGACCTGAGCACCGACGAGCAGTACAAGTACGAGGGCAAGCTGCCGCGCAGCATGGCGCACTTCCCGCGGCGAGTGAGCGAGTTCGTCGACATCTTTTTCCCCGCACGTCCAGTGAGCACTGAGGGTGCCGCATCAACGTTAACGGACTAGCTGAGAGTCTCGTGTTCGGAAGCATGGTCTACTAGGTGTGCGGATTCACTGCAGTGGTATGTGCATCTGGTGCTCGATCCTACTGGTGCTGATGAATCTGATGATCGAGGCGTGGTTCTTCCTGACGAGGTAGTATCACACGATTTCTATATCGCCAACAGCATGCAGCATCGCCTTCTTGACCCTGATCTCTGGTCCTATTGGACGTCGCCATTACGGTGGCGCGGTTTACTGCGTTACTTGCCAGGGTCTGGCCCTACTGGGATGTCATTTGTGTAGCGCCCTCACACGCTAGTAGTGAACGAATATCGTGCTGACGAGTTCGACTTGCGCGTGTATGCCGGTATCAACTACTACATGCACGTCAACAAGAAGATGGACATCTACTATCTGTGTAGCAGGGATATTTGTTGAAAGTGACCGGGTTTGCATTAAGATGTTGGTCAAGACGACTCGGCCTACGCCACCATAGCAGCAACGTGCGAGGCGTTCCACACCCAAATGGTCTGAAGGACAGAATCCTCTTCAAAGATAGAAGTGACCGATCTGGCCATCCGAATGGGCAGATGTATATCCACTCAGACGCGACAACAATGCACTAGACAATCACGTTCCTCCTCCAGGACAGCAGCATCCTTAACAGCAAGAAAAACGACAAGCTGAACGAGTGCATCAACCTGCTCGGAATGAAGGACATGGCGGACCAGATCGTTGATGGCAGCTGGCAGTTGAAGCGGCTGAAGGCTGGCGAGGAGTTTGAGGGTTAGTCTTCTCGGACGAGCCGACCCTGCGTCTACCTTACCCATGTTCGTCGCAACCAGATTTCTTCGGTCGACTTGCGTCATTCCCAATGCACCACGCAATAGCTCGCAGCTACATGTACAATGACATCAACGTGTTGATCTGAATTACTGTACCAACAGCTATTCAGCCCTGAATTCCTGTTGTCCCAATCTCTCCTAACCAACGCAACAGGCATTCAGACCATGGCAACCGGAATTCAGTAGATTTGGGGATAACAGGTCATTCAGTATTTCTGCAACAGGTTTTAAGATTTTTCCAATGCGGGAAGTCTGTGGGATGATAGGTGCCAGCTGACTTGGCTGCACATGGACAGATCTTGAGCGCGGATGGGATCGTGCCATGCCGGCGAAGTAGTCCTTGGACTTGATGACTTGGTGATGACCATGATCACGCTGCCCATGACGGGCAGCTGCGAGACGCCGCCGTTCGGGCCCAGCGGCAGCATCGTGCCCACCACCTCCACCTTGGGGAACGGCTTGCTCACGTTGGTTTGTGTCTTGCGCGCCACCAGCGCCAGCTCGGGGCCCAGGTGCTTGCCCTGCAGGCCGGCGTAGAACATGCGCTTGGGCGCGGGGCTGTTGCTCGCGTCGCCCAGCGCGTAGATGTTGGAGTACTGCGCGCTGTCCAGCTGCAGCTTGCTGTTGACCTTGATGAAGCCCTCGGGCGTGACCAGACTGGCGTCAAGCTTCTGAATGAGCTCGCTCGTGGGGCGAAAGCCGCCGCATAGCAGCTGGATGTCAGATTCGATCTCCGTGCCCTTGTCCGTGCGCAGCGTGCGCTTCTCGAAGGAGTTTACGTTGAGGCGCTCCGTCAGGCGCTCGCCCAGCACCACCTTGACGCCCTACGCTTGAGGTACGTGGACATCTTGGTGCCGAACTTGTCGCGCACGTCGTAGCTCGCGACCAGCTTGTCCTTGCCCTCGAGGATGGTCACGGTCTTGCTCGGGTACTTGGCCTTGATCTCGCCGGCCACCTCGACGCCCACGGCGCCGCCGCCCACGATGAGCGCGCTGCTGGCGGCCTTGACCTGCTCGCGCATCTTGGCCAGCTTGGCCTCCGTGGTTGAGGGCTTGAAGTTGTTGGCCGACTGCTTGATGGGCACCGTGTACGTGCTGCCCGTGGCCACCACCAGGTAGTCGTAGCTCAGGCTCTTGCCCGCCAGCAGGTCGCCGTCCTCGTGGATGGGCGCGTACTCGACCTCGTTGGCGCCGGACACGATGCGCGCCACGACGGCCCGCTGGATCTTGACGAAGGCTTTGGCCGACGGCGGGATGACGCTGCCGTACTGCGCGACGAGCTTCTTGGTGTAGCCGGCGTCCACGACGGCGCGCGGCGTGCCCACGGCATGGTAGTATTCTCAGAATTCACGGCACGGAGCATCGGTTGCAGGCTGCAACAACTTGCAGCGCGGGCCCTCGCCAGTCCGGCGCCCCAGAGCAAAGACTTTCGTAGACAACGCTTACCAGGTAGACATTTATTACATCATTACGTTCTGCATTATCGGGCACGGTCCAGAAGTTCTGCACAATGACATAAATCGTGACTTTTTAGCAGCAATTCAAGCCCAGCACTGTAGTGCAATTGCAGCGCGTCGTACCTCGGCCAGCACCGCCAGGTTGGTGCCCTTGATGATGGCGCCAGAGTCGATGACCAGGTACAGTGCCTTGGTAGAATCCATATGGGGTCTAATACCGAATTGAACTGGATCAGGGATCCGAATATATCGCCGTAATTTACCGATAGTTTCGGATCAAATAGGCTGATCCAAAAAATACTCATCACAAAGTCACACTAATTATATATTTTGCTTGGACCAAAATATTTTGGTCCAGACTACCGGATACTTAAGAGCAAGTATAATACACGCCTGACTTCCATGATGTTGCAAGTGCCTACGAACTGCTCAATACAGACGAGGGCGAGCGGATGCGAGCGCGAGGCTCACTCAAGGCATTCACCGATCATCAACACCCGCCGATTAGGCGGGGGCGTGTCTGTGCGAGCGAGCGGACGCGAGCGCTGCAACCCGATTTTTTTTTTCTAGACACCGCGCCTGGCCGAGTCGAGTAAGGCACGAGGGGGTGGGGCAGGCCGCGAAGCGGCGCTCCCCGAGCGAAGCGAGAGAGGGGCGGGCCCCGCCCAGAGCCCCGATCTCAACCCAATTGAGAACGTGTGGGCGATCATGAAGCGGGAGCTGAATCGCCAGCCAGCAACCTCTATTGAGGTCCTTGAGATATGGACGAGTATCGACGACGATGTCATTCGCAAGTGCGTGCTTTCCATGCCGGCTCGCCTGGACGCTGTCATCGCGCTCACACGAAGTACTGATTTGTGACTTGATTTTTGTATGGGAACGAGGTGGGCGGTGATTTTTTATCACCGTGTTTTGTAATTTTTGCCAGATTTTTCCTGATAAAAATACAGCAATGTTACGTTTTTCCTATTCATTGACCTTCACTTGTAGTTTATCCTTTTGCGGTTCCGCTCGTGTTTCTCCGGCAGGAAAATATGATCTAGTTCGTGAACAGTTGCCAAATATATTAGCTGTATACTATGTGGGCGGTGACTTTCTGGAGCCGCTGTACAGACGCGCGTGGTACACGTCTGCGCGATGTCCCGAGTGCCGACTGCCGTTGTGATGGACTGCCACGCCTGCGTGACGCTGGAGCATTGGCCGCCTCCGAACTGCTCCAGCGCCAGCAGGAACCGCTGCTGCTCGTCCGAAGCCCACGGAGACTCATCCTGTTGGTTGGTGAGAGGTGCTGAAAGTCGTGTACTTGCTGTCTGCAGTCTTGTAAGCGTAGCAGAGTTGATCTCAGCACGAAGGTGCGGGCAGAAGACGAACGGAAGGTAGGAGACTGAGGTTGCCTTGGCAGAATGCCGTGGCGGGAACAACCAAGGCGGCGGAGCTGGTTGTGCTCCTGCTGAAGAATGCGGAAGTGAGTGCCGAGTGCGCAGCAGCTCGGCGCCGCCACCTTGGGACCCTTGCTCGTGTTGAAGGAGTTTCCTAACCGACCTATGCTTTGCTATGCTGGTAGGTGCTGTTGCTGCTGCTGAAGCTGCTAATGTGCTGCACCTGTCAGTTGCTAACTACTGCCGCGCGGGGCAACGAGAGGTAGTGACCTCCCACAGTCGCAGCGGTTTCTGTGCTGGCGAGCTTCGCCTGCGACCGCGTGCCGTCTTTCCGCGCTGCGGAGCACTGCTTGGTGGCGCTGGTACCGCTGGTACCTCACAGTTGGAGACGACGCTGAACGAGCTGAAGGTGGGCGTCGACCCCGAAGTCCGCTTCTTGCCCATCGGAGCGAGTCGAGGAGAGGAATCAAAAGAGCGGCGCGGGTGACGACTGCAGAAGAGTGGAGAACAGTCGAAGTCGAGTCGAGCCGCCACCCACCACGCGCAAAAGGCAACAAGACAGAAACTGCCGAGCTCAAACGGAATAACGGACGCCAACGGACGGGTTTCCAGCGAGAAGAAACGGATGAACCGCACTCAGTTGACAAGTGGATATGCCGGGATGAAATTTTGAGAGCTCAGTCCGCGGCGCATAACGCAGTTCATTATCATCAATAATCTAAGTCTTAATCCGTGCGTCCTTCGACGTCGCTCAGATCACGTCCGCAATGACGGCAGAAGTGATCTGTCGACAAAACATCCCCATTACAGCTTCCATATGACCGCTTCGTTACCACCGCAGCTGCGTGTGAAGATGTGGGCTCGCTGCAATTACCGCAAAAGGTGAACTCAACCGGCATACACGCTGTACAGTACGAACATACCCACATGGTAGCAGTCTCAACTACGATAGACGCTTCTTGGTTGCCAACATTGATCATATCCACGTTTAAGCCTTCCGGGCATTGTCGGTGCTCGATCTCAGTCCGCAAACATCATCAGCGTGTCGATCGCATCCGCTAGGGACATGCGCGTCTCCCAGTCTGGATCGAGGAGCCGCTCCACGAAAGTCCACTCCTTATCGGACATGCCGACCACGCGGGGGTACACCTCATTATTCAATTTCCTCTCCATCACCGTTTCGGCTTCCAATTCGTACGGCGGATGTCCCAGGAAAGCCTCAACGATGCACATGCCGAACGAGTTCACGTCATGTGCGAACCGTGGATTGAACACCGAGTTCGGACTTTCATCCACTGGTAATAAACACTCAGGCGCCTACCACCGAATAGCGTCTGTCTGGGGTTTGGCACTTAGCCCCACCGACTGAGCCCTGATGATCGAAAAGCCGAAGTCGCACAGCTTGGCTCTCCTGTCGGCTCCAATCACGATGTTGCTGCACTTGAGGTCGCCGTGCACTACCTTTTGCGAGTGGAGGTAGAACAGCCCAAGCGCAGCCTCGTGGAAAACGCAACTCGCTCTTGTCCTTCCCAAAGTAGTTGGCGAAGTACACGATGAACGCTGGCTTGCTCAGGTGGCAGGCTCCGAATAGACGGACGACGTGTAGATTGTTCAGCTTGTATCAGACCTCCACCTCCGTGTAGAACGAGTCGCTCGCCTTCTCGTCCTGGTCCTCCGCTAAGAGGCACTTGATCACCACGTTCGTCCCCTTCCCCCATGTGCCGTGGTGGACGGAGCCGTAGGAGCCCAAGTCGAAGCATTCTTGAAGATCAAAATCCACATCGTCGCTGGGATAAACCACGAGAGAACCACCGGCACCTTTGCCTTGGACAGAGACATCACTTGTTGAAAGTCTTGGCCAGCAGCCCCACTTCGGGTCCAGCTTCACCATGAGTGCACCGCAGCACCACCACAAGCTGAGCAATTCCCTCTTTGATCTTGTTCCCCGTTCTGTGGATCTCCTCCTTCATCGCCTGGTTGTTGGCCAGGATGTCTCTCCTGAATGGCGAGCTTCTTGTCCTCCTCCCACGTGCTTCCACTTGGACATCTCCGCGACGTGGGTCAAGTTTAGTAGCTTGAAGAGATCGTCCATGCGCAAGAGGAACTCCAGGATCCCCTCCACGACCTTGCGATTGCTCGTGAGTCTCCGTATGAACCCCTTGTTGGCCTGCTTACATGTACCAGACTGTAGCGAAATCCAAGCACCAAACGTGCCCAGGTCCATCTCCGAACTTATTTCTGAAAAATCAGCACGCGAATGGGTACCGCCTCGGGGTATCCGCACCACGTCAGCCGTGTCAACATGAATCACGATCAATAGCTTCGGTCTTGATGCGCTGTGTCTCGTGCAAGCTGCTTCTTGCAGCATATTCTCACGCGAATGCTGGATCTGCGTCCAGGCGATAGCCGCAGTGCCGGCGAAAGCGGTCTGTCAAGGGCATGTTTTCGCAACTTGGACACGCGTTCTTCTGATGTTAGGCTGCACTTCCCTGCCTCGCCATTGCTGTGCCGCAATCGCCGCAGAAGGCGAACTTTGACGGGCATCCTCGCCTCACAATACGCTTGCTACCGATAGCTCTCTCCCTCTGTCTGCAAACACCTTGAGCCCGTCAATCGCGTCCTGCAGCGAGAGACGCTTCCTCCAGTCCGGCTGCACCATGCGCTCCACCAGCGCCCACTCGTCGTCCTGCATGTTGCCTGGACGCGGGTACGGCTCGAGTTCAAACAGCCTCGTCATGATCTCGTCGTCGTCCAGGAGTCCGTACGGCGCCTCGCCCTGGAAAGCCTCCACGATGCACATGCCGAGCGAGTAGACGTCCGAGGCGAAGCGCGGGTTGAACTGCGGGTTGGCCTCCTCATTGGGCGGCACCAGACACTCGGGCGCCTTCCAGCGGATGGCCTAGGTCTGTGACTTGGCGCTGAGCCCCACCGACTGGCTGCGCACGTACGAGAAGCCAAAGTCGCATGGCCTTGTAGTCGTTGCCCACGAGGAGGTTGGTGCACTTGAGGTCGCCGTGCACCACCTTCTCCGCGTGCAGGTAGCCGAGCCCCAGCGCTGCGCGCCCCGCGTCTTCCTCCAGGAAGTCGCTGAAGCTGCCGTGCGTGGCGTCGTCGCACATGAAGAAGGCGGGCGAGCTCACGTGGCACGCGCCGTAGAGCTTGAGCTCTTCAGACGTCCACCTCGGCGTCGTCTACTAGCAGGCACTTGACCACGACCTTGGTGCTGCTGCCGCGCCCTTGGTCCACGAGCCGCGGTGCACGGAGCCGTACGGCGTTGGATTCCTTGGCATATTCCAGAAAGGATCGTTGCGGAGGATGATAAAAACTATAAAATGCTTTGCTTAAAGTGTACTAAGACCTAACAAACTGCACACACGACACGCTTTTAATGCTCTTACATATCACCCGATCTTGATGAAGATTTCTAGCCTTACGAACTGCGACCTCCCCCGGGACGCTTGTCGCCCGGGTAAGCTAGTATGTTGTTTGACATATTATGTGCCACAAGCACACAGTACCGGTAAGTGCTCGTGGCAGCAATGGCGCCGAAGTACTTTCGTGCACTTTCGAGCACTGCACGAAACAGCCCTACAGTAGCGCCAACGCTTTCGTCGAGATCTTGCGAATCCGCTCCTGCCTCATTCGTGAAGTTGCCGCCTCGAACTCACAGCTCAAGTGATGTGGCTGCTGCACCGTCTCGGACTCGCGGCGGCGGCGACCGTCACCCTGCTCTCTTCCCCTGCAGCGGCCGCCGAGCCTCGCTGCTTCCCTGCTGATTTCCTCTTCGGGTCGGCCACCGCGTCGTACCAGGTGGAGGGCGCGTGGAACGAGGACGGCCGCACTCCGAGCATTTGGGACGACTTTTGTCGTGAACAGCCTGGCTTCGAGTGCGCCAACGTCGACGACTTCTACCACCGCTATGCGGACGACATCAAGCTCATGGGGGAGACGGGACTCCAGTCCTTCCGCTTCTCCGTCTCGTGGTCGCGCATAATGAACTGGGACCCGGAAGCGCGACGCATGCGCCCACGCCCCCGGTCTCGTCTTCTACCAAGCGTTGCTTGACAGGTTGGTTGAGAGCGGCATCTCGCCGATTTTTACCATTTACCACTGGGACCTGCCCACGAAGCTGCACAACAAGCTCACCCCTCAGGGATGGCTCAACCCGGAGATCATCGACCACTTCGTGGAGTACTCGACGCAGCTGTACAACGAATTCGGTGACAAGGTCGACTTCTGGACCACCTTCAACGAGCCACTTCCTTCGTCGTGTACGGCTACAACACGGGTCTGCACCCGCCAGGATTCCACGACTCGCCCACGCTGGTTTACGAGGTGGCGCACAGTGTGCTCCTGTCACACGCGTACTCCGTGCAACGGTTCAGGGAGCTCAATCGAGTGGTGTTGTCCAGCCGAAAGCGCATGGGTATCGTACTCAATGCCAATCAGTTCCACCCTCTTCGGGAGAACAACAATGAAGATGCAGAAGCTGCGGAGCGCGCGATGAACTTCGAGTTTGGCTGGTGGCTGCTGCCCCTCACCTCCGGCGACTACCCGCCCGTCATGCGCGAGCGAGTCGGTGAGCGTTTGCCTCGCTTCACGGCCGAGCAGACCGCTCTAGTCAAGGTCTCGTACGACGTGCTGATGTTAAACCACTATTTCGCTCGCTCCGTTACTTCCTGCGACTCGGAGGTGTCCAACACGCCGTGCTCTTCGCTCCACGTCGGCTTCGGACAGGACAAGGGTGTCGACGACACGCACATAGAACCAGGCTCCCGTCCAGGACTGCAGGACAGCCAAGGCAACAACTACTGCAAGTCGTACACGGCCTACCCTCCCGGGTACTTGGACACGATCAAGTGGATGCATGCGAAGGACCCCTCGGCGGAGATCTTGCTAACGGAGAACGGCTGGTGCGGCAACGATGAAGTGGAGAACTTGGACCAGCTGTGGTTCTTCCAGTCGTACATTGAGCAAGTCTGCAAGGCCGTGGTGGAGGAGAAGATCCCCGTCATCAGCTACACTGCCTGGAGCTTCCTGGACAACTACGAGTGGGGGTCGTACGGTCCTCGCTTCGGGCTCTACTACGTCAACTTTACGGCACAGACTGGATCCGTGGAAGGTTACAGGCCCAAGCCGACGGACTTGCAGCGTATCGCGCTTCCGTCCGCCAAGTGGTTCAGCAAGCTGGCGTCTACAGGCTGTCTGGACGAATTGACCGAGACCGATGCGGTTGCTGCCATTGCCATGCGAGCTGCGGTGAGGCAGGGGTCCCCGGTTATTGCTGCAACGAGAACCGCTACGAGCGGACTGCTGTCGACGGGCATGATGAGCGTATTCGCGGCAGTCGGCACTGCCATGCTCGTCGCGACGTGGCGTCGTCGTCAGGGATACGTGGCCATCCCGCGCTTCTCCGTCAACTAAATCCACGACTGGCTGGTCCTGCACTAAGCTGGCGGGTGACGTCAACCAAATCAACGTCTTGTTTGACTTTTCTGCATTGTATTTGATTATCTATGGACTTCGCAGTGGCGAATGGTGGCTTTCAAGCCGCGCAAGTGAGGCAGGCACCTGGAGAAGTACGGTACAGGCCGAAACTGAGATGACTACACGGGTTTTCCTTACCCTCGCGCGGAAAACGAAGCCATTGCAGGGATTTCGGCGTTGAACAACAAGAAGACAGCTCAATAATAATGTTAACTTCCTCCTGCTTTGCTCCTGATTGATGTCGTTTCGTTTCGTTTCGCAGTGAGGAACATTGATGTCACTTAACTGAAACTCCTGATTGATGTCGAAGAACACGACCGCGCTTCTGCCGGTCTGGGGATGCCATCACTCCATCAAGTTGAAGTTGTGTATGGATGAATATCGTGGTCTTTCCGACTGATAAGTGAGCAGGATTGTTTCAGGCTGGTCATCATCTGAATTACAGCCTATCATATGGCCTGGAGTCGCTATTTCAGCCAATGACATCGGTGTAGACAAATGTTGTTTACATTCGCCAAAGGATGACACTATCTAAGAATTAATGGCAATGACGTAATTGTCCGATCACGCTTCGCCGGTGTGCAGACCCCATAGCGTCATTCTTTTGCTGCCGCACGACTTCGTGTTTTACCAGTACTGGCAAACCGCTTCTTTTGATGGCCCGACATTGTTGGGGCAGGTTCAAGTACATGGGAGTTCCTCTTAATATCTCACGGTAACAGTGGCTTAAATTTGTGATCGTGTTCTACGTCGTACAACTCGCTGTAAGTGCTAGCCGTATAGCACTTGACTACGTTGTTGATGCCAAACTACACCACTAACGACTCCTAACTCTACTGATTCCTCGTACTGGATGAGGTAAAGTTCGGACTCCAGATCAAGGGTGCCCCTAGAACATTTTTTCGGATTCACAGCAATATGGCGCGTAGATAAATGTGGTTGCGGCCCAAGCTCAGTAACAGCCGCTACGCCTGCCTTGCCTCCATCCATGATGAGCGGGCAGTTGAATACCATTTGTCGAGATTTACCAGATACGATAGTGCCATCATTTAGCAAAAAACCGTCGAGGGAGCGCTCTCCTCCTTCTTCTACGACCACAATGCATTTTTCTTCTTGTCGTTGTTCCTAGTTACTTGAAGTATTTCTCAAAGAGAACTGCGAATCTCCGGGCCTCATGGCCCAGGTCCCCTAATATTGTAAGACATGTAAGATATTGTAATACTTCATTACTGTGGCCAACACCCCTCATATTAGGAGATGTTTTGCTAATACGCCCCCAGACGTTTCGCTTAAGTATATATCGTGCAGCACGATACACAATCACTACCAAAACTTCTTCGATAAAATATTTGTTTTGAAACAGAATTTCTGGAATGGGCTATGTTTGAGGACAACACACTAATCAGCTCACTTTCACGGAATGGGGTATGATAAAACGGAGAGTAGAAATTTTGAGCAGTATTTTAAGAAACATCTAAAATGCCTATCTATAGTATAAAACGCCTATCAATATCAGCTGATATGTTAAATCAACTAATTACGTATATGACAGAAAAAAACATACACACCAAAAGCCAGTAAGCTTTCATCTGCCTTAACTATTAACTAATATTTGTAAAAATTGTTTTGGCGACTTAGGTATTTTTAAACGGAAAAGATAGCGCCCATGTTTTCGGTTGGAGGGGGTGAAATTGACTCAAATCTATCGGGAGCGTCTGAGCAAAATGGACACCAGTGGCATTTGAGATGCACGAAGAGCCTGCAAACTTCACCCCAGTGCTGTGGCTGGCCATGGTATTCCCTGCTCAACGCTGGGTTGGTCTTCAGAGGGTTCTTAGCGCCCTATCCCGTTTAGAAAACATGGGCCGTATCAACAGCCTTCAGTATGTTGACTACCCTAACCCGTTTAGAAAACATGGGCTGTATCAACAGCCATTTTCAAAAAGACTTACTAAGGTCTCTTCACCAGAACTTGAAGCGTGTCAAAAGTCAACTTTCCAGGATACCGGTTAGAGGATTGTCAAAATACCGGTTAGCGACTCGTTGCCACTTTAATGTCCGGTCCGCTCCCCCTGGGAGTGCGTTAAGGGGGCAATGTTGCCACAAAAGTCTCTCTATCAGGGAAGCATTCCACATCTTCCCGGCAATCAGAGCGATGCCGTGCGGTGGAGACGACGGCTACGGCGCCTGGAGGAAGGGGATTCGGCGCTAGCGACCACTTTCTACATGTACCAAGGAACGCTCAGGTCGTGACTCCACCAAGCAGAGGTTGGAAAAAATATTTCAATTCAATAAATAATTGGGTTTTGCAATAAAAATCTTTATTATTGGACATCCCAGCTACCAATACAATATGATATTGACCCAATTATTGACAATAAATATGAAAAAAGTGCGGTTCTGCGGCCCACCACAAATCTACGTTTGATGGCATCACATGGCACCACCGATGACATCAACAATGGGGTCCTCCACACTACACTAGCGTCGATACAATTACCGGTCAGGAGCAGACTCGTAGAGAAGCCCAGCCGCCATTCTCGGGCGGCCTAGCGTCTCATTTCAACATTGCATTCTCCAAGCAACAATGGTCTCCAACAAGCTAGCGTCGGTGCGCCAAGTGCCCCTACGAATGCTGTTGTGAGCGACTTAACTTCGTCAGAGAGTGACAGCTCCGACATTGAAGGGCGAAATGTATACACCCTTGAGTTTATTTATGCAAAAAAGACTGATCTGGATGGCAACGACTACTACTTTGTGATCTGGGTTGGATACCCCCGTCCTACTTGGCAGCCAGCGTCAGATTTACCACAAGATGCCATTGCGCGTTTTGAAGAGGAGGAGCTCGGCGTGTTTTGGCCTGTGGATCGCAGAGATTTTATCGAGATAGGCGTGCCTACGGGAAGTAGTGGTAGAAGAGCGAGAGTTAGAAGAACATGAAGAAATAACTAACAATACAATATAAATTACGGCGATATTTACTATTGCTTGCCGCTATATTGAAATCTTTATTATGAGTCATGCTGCTGGCAATACAATTTTTTATGGTATTGGCGGACCTCTGCCACCAAGTGCCGTCTCCGGGGACGCGAAGCAGGACAAGCAACGCCCAAGCCACACGACGCTGGAAGAAGCGTCACGTCGTGCTAAGCCAAGATACCGCGCTTCTTTCTCGCGCGACGGCTGAAAACCGGGATCTGACCACGATTCCAAGGTGGACGCGAACCGGAGCTGTTGAGCGGCTGAGGTCGGTGTGACAAGGTGCAGGAGGGCGGGGCGAGCTCGGCGAGGTATCTAGGCAGCGGCAACCGGCAGGTTTCGGCTCCGTTCGTGGTAGTTCTGGGATCTACGCAGTGGACGTGGACGCAAGGCTTTTTGAGCAGATCGACTTTGTGGGAGAAGAGATCGGCTCAATTTGCTCGCTGTTTTGAGTCGAAGACATGCAGGCAAAGTCATCGCTGCTGGCGGGGCGTGCTGGGGCGTCCTGGTTGACGAGATACATCATCGTGGCCGAGCTCGTCGTGGTGTCGCCTTCTTTGAACCAGTATGTGGCAGCAGCGCGATGAAGCGGGTTCCCGTGCTCGAAGATGGCTCGGAAAGAGGCTACGCAAGTGAGGCAAGTGCAGGATCGAGGCAGACGCACGCGAGACTGCTGGTTTGATGGTGGTGGGCTTCGTGGTGACAAGAGTCGACGGCATTGTTGCAAACTATTGCACGTGCATGCGGTCAGTCTCATCCGGAGTTTCGTCGCAGCTGGGAGGGTGCTGTGCGCTGCCAAGTCATGCAACAGAGATGCCGGGAGGGGCAGAGCGAGTTGGAGATGGATGTCGTTTTTAGGATCGTGTGAATCCTTGTCCGAGCGCCGATTTGCTGCGCGCTCTCCTCTACCGGCTCGATGGTCATCGGTCCGTTGAGGGAGGCCCGAGTTCTTGCGCAAACGCCACACGAGCTTCTTCATCTCTGCGCATTCAATGATCCTGGAGACGCTGAGCCATTGCGTGGCCACCGCGTTGACCGACAGACTGTTCATGAGCTCGTTGCTGTCGCTGCGGAAGTCGTAGAAGCCGCGCGCGTAGCACTCGACGAGCTCGGGTGTCTTCTTGCGGAACAGGCAGCACAGCGACATGTTGGCGCGCTCGACGCCGAACTTGTCGAAGCTCGGGATCTGCGAGAACGCCACCGAGTGCGAGATGCTGAAGCCGACCTGCTCACCCTTGCTGCTCGTGGCGAAGCCTGTGGCTTCCACGCACACAAAGTCGCGCGCGTTGTTGTGCAGCCGCCACTTGACGCCGACGTGTCGGAACGGCTGCTCCTCGCTCGGAGCCACGACGGACTGCACCACTTTGCTCTCGAGCACGCTATCCTGCAGACACTTGGACGTGAGCTTCAGCTGCTCGTCGGTCGCGGCCGCCGCCACGAACATGACGTCCTCCAGCTTGCCCACGACCGAGCCGAGCAGCAGCAGCGACGGGATGCAGGGCAACGTGGGCGGCCGCCGCCACGAACATGACGTCCTCCAGCTTGCCCACGACCGAGCCGAGCAGCAGCAGCGACGGGATGCAGGGCAACGTGGGGCCGGTCGCAGAGTGCGTCGCCGACCGCTCCTTGTACACTCGGATGCCGTCCTTGTGAGGCAGCTCCTTCCGTTGGCGGGCGTCCGCGTGGCCGTCCGCCGTCACCCGCAGCGCATTGTTGCTCTCGGCCTTGTCGCTTTAGGGAAGTGTGGCGCTTTACGGGAAGTGTGGCAGGCAGTGGGTTCAAGTTGCCGATGGCAATTGGTGGTGTGCTGTACTAGCACCTGAAAAATCCAAGGATAAATTTCGACATTGTTTCTGAACCTTCGATCGACTTGATACTCATCCTTCAAGCTACGATGCTGCGCCCAAATTTTCCCTGTCACCGAATGACCGTACTGCCTGGTAAGTCGGTCTTCATGCCTGCTAAATAACTCGGCAAACGCGCCATGAGTGATGAGAGCAATCTCTTTAGGAGTCGTCATGGCGTATACTGTGTCCTCGACGGACAACGTAATGCCCAGAACTCCGTCAATAAATTCTTGTACAGCGTCACGAACTACAAGAACCAAGTCAAACTGGCTCGGGACATCAAGCATCTCGTAGAGTCCACCTGAGAACGCTGACGCCTTACATATCTCGAACTCAGTCTTCACGTCACTTATGCATGGCTTTCCGTCGGGGCCGTTCTCCTCAAATCGGTTCTGAAGCGTTGTCGCGAGCTTTTTGAGGGCCGCGTACTGCTCAGATACCGTGACGTGTTTGTACTGCAGTTGCTCAAAGCATAACTTGGCTGAGCGCGCGAGATCCGTGACCACAGCCAAAACGATCCACCACAACCTGCTCGAAAGCGAGCGATGCTTGTCATTTTGCAGCGCAACCAAGGCGTTGCGGTTGAGTGTCAAGAACTTGCAGGACTCATAGATGGAATCCCAGCGGGTTTCAGCATAGTGAGGACAACTCCCGACTCGTTGTTTGACAGACTCGTGCGTATGCGTGAAAGAAATCTTCGAGCCTAGGGTCGAGCGAAAGTCAACATAGCTGTCAAAAACCATCAGCAATTGGTTCATGATCAGGTTTAGCTGATGGCTGCCGCACCAGTTAGTGACAATGCCTGTCCCTCCGACGGCTCTGCAGGCGTCCTTCACATTCTTGGAAAACCCATTGTTACAACCCAGCATGTTGGCCGCGCCGTCGGAAGATATCCCAATAAGCTTCTGTAGCGCAGCATCGCCGCCGAGGGCTTTGAGAAAAGTCAGGACAAGCGCAGCGTAGTTTTTCCCGGTGTGCGATAGAGTTCCGGTGGGAATAGCGAGAAAGTGGAAGTTGTGTAGAGCGCCATCTAATCCAAACGAGAGACGTACGTCGAGGTAGCCTCGATCTTGGTGTGTAGCTCCATCAACGATGATCGAAAAGCCCCATACGTGCTTAAAAATCTCTGCAAAAGCGGTGAGATTGATGACCGTCAATAGCCGAACCGAATCGCGAACCACCTTCTCAGATGGCTTCCCGAGCTTCATATTCATCAATCGCACGCCAAACACGACAAACAGCTCCGAGGTGCTGCGGTAGCTTACAGAGTTCGAGATACACTCCACGATGACTTCAAATTGGTCGCGATCTGCAACTTGAACGATGCAATCTCCGTTGTCACACTCGATGAATTGCGGGTCCAGACTTGTGTGTCCATCGTCAAAATACAAGCACTTCAGCAAAGCCATCACACCCGCTGGCACCCGCACTTCAAAAGAAGGTTGGGTCAGATACGAGGAAATGGGCATTTCCTTAATGAAGTACTTTGCGCGCACTTTTTCATCTTTAGGGAGCGCGTTGTACTCCTTCCAGCGCTTAGGATGTTGCGTCTTCAAGTGCGACTTGAGGTTATCAATCCTAAAAGAGGTGAAAACACCAGGCATCTTCGTCTTCTTACGTCGCTTCTTCGGTGAAGCCAAAATACCCGCAATCTGAGCCGCATTCTGGGAGCACTTGCAGGCTTGGCTTCCTCTCGTCCGAACCGGGCACAAAACTTGCAAATGGCATCCATTACGATACCTGCGTCACTCTTGCTCCCAGGTTTTATTCCCAGAAGCATCTCGTAGATCGGCTGCCACGCATCGCGAGGGTCTTGACGTGTCTGCTTCTGCGTCGCTTCGGTTAGAACGGTGTTGATATCTCGCGCTCGCCGGTCTAGACTGCCTTCATCTGAACTAGCCCTCGGCATGGCGTAGAAAATGTCTGCTATGCTAACGTCCAATGAAGGATATTCGCACGTTGGGCTGCGTTCGTGTCACGTGGGCTTCTCGGCTGGCTTGCGAATGGACAGCAGCTAGTCTTCCCCGGTGGTTTCATAATGGCAATGGATCGCTATAATTGGTATGTAGCCATCCTGTTAGTACAGGACGCTGGCAGAACCTTAATTCAGGAAGTGCGCCCAACTTATGTCCATCCTTCCTAGTTTGACGATGCGGAATTATTAGAAGGGGGTACTTTTAAAGGGAGTGAGACACAATGGAATCCGTAGTGCCCCGTAGTACGGACAGCGTAAGAAGTCTATTTACAGAATAAATTGAACAACAATCGCTCATAATGGTAATCGGTTTACAAACTTTAATACTATAATATGAAACATTTGGACATTTAGCGAAAAAACCAGAATCAAACTCAGTTTTTCAGAAAAGGTTTGGGGGTGGGGTTTTACAGTGCGCCAAAATGATAGGACCACCTTGGAAAGTTCTCATAACTCGGTCAATATTGATTATTTTAAGGTGCGGTTTCGAGGCTAGTTACACAACACGCTGGGAAAGATCAGGTATGCGCTAACACTCGCGTTTTTGCACTCTATGCGATAGCTCACATACAAAAAACTGTTTCTGCCAAGTCGACACAAATTAGGACCACCCCCATTCCAATACAAGATCCTATATAAAGGGAAAGCCTGTACAAAGCGATATGACTGGGGAT